TTAGCCTAAGCTAGGCCCTAACTTACTCTGTATGTTAAGTATCCAAGGATCACCTTAAACTCCTAATGCCCCTTACCCCAACTGGCATGTGCTGAGATATCAGACATCTACCTTGCACCTGATGAAAGGCATGGTTAAATAAATACTATTAGGGAAGCTGTGTCTACGTGAAGAATGAACAGAACCTGCATATTTTACAAAACCAACCTAAGGGGGATTAAAGACATAAATATAAAACCCAAACATTGTAAAACTACTAGAAGAACAAAGAGCCTCTGTGGACCATTGATCCAAGCAAGGATTATTTTAGTCTAGGATGTAAAAATGCAGGCAACAAAGGAAAAAGTAGACAAATAAGATTATATGAAACTAGAAAGATTCCAGAGTGTAAAGAAGAAAAACTGAGTGAAGAGATGAGTTACATAAGTGGAGAAACATTCACAAACTTCATCTCACAAGTAGTTAATATCCAGAATATCTGAGGAAACCAACAACACGAAACCAAAACTATCCAGTAGAATTTTTTTAATTTTCCAGTCATACTGTACAGAGATGAAGTGTGATGATTTCAGGACACCCTACAAACAAGGAATAGGTAGGGAAAGAAAGGGAGAGAGAAAGGAAAGGGAAGGGAAGGGAAGATGGAAAGGAGAAACCAGGTTTTAGAAAATGTTACTTGATCTAAGAAAAAATAATTTGTCTTTCCTATACATACTGCCAGTAACTGCTACTTGTGAACCAAAACACCCACTAGCCCACCAGATGAGTGTGAAATAAGTGCTCCCAGCAAATGAAGAATAGAAGTATACAGAACATTATGCCTTTTGCAGCCATTTTGCAAACCTTATTTTGGCCATTTCTATGTTGGCTGGCACCCGAGGCAAAAAAGAGAAAAAAAAATATTTTCAAGATCTGAACTATGAAAAAACTAAGACAGAGAGACTGGTTAAAGCAGCACCCCTGGACATGGGTTTTCAAATGAGAGCTTGGCAGTCTAAAGAGGTGCCGAATTCAGGGTAAATGTTTGGATATTTCAAATTGTGATGGAATAGATGTGGAATTGAGCAAGTTATGAAATGCTGTACCTAAGAGGATGCCAGACCAGCCAGAAAATACAACACCAAGAACAACAAAAAATCTTGTCTAGAAATTAGAAACTTATGAAAATTTCCCTAAGACCTAGCATACACAGAAACCAGGGCCCTGGTCCGAAGGAAAGCAGAAAGGAGTCATCTGGATGCCAAAGGTTTGTTTCTTCATGATGATGCTCAGGGTGCTTCCAACAGGGAAGCTCAACCTCTCACCTCACTGACCTCTAAGAAAAGAAAAAGTGAATTTCAAGGTAGAAAACTGTTTCACATGAAGCTCGCGTGTGTAAAGGGAGAAGGAACTTCCTGACAAACATTGGATTTTACCAGTCAGTCTTCTAAGTTTCCATTCATCACACAAAGTACAATTTAGTAAATCGCCATATTTTCAGTTGCCTAAACCTCAATGCCTTCTTAAATATACAGAGATGAATATCAGAAAGAGAAAAAGAAGGAGGAAAGAGAGAGGACAGAAGGATAGAGAGATGGATGGAGAAAGGAGGGAGGGAGATGTTTTAGTCCAATTATCTCACCAGTCTTTGCTTTTACACATCATTTCTACACAACTCTGGCAGATAAGCTTGGAAACTGATTTTCCTAGACACTTCACAGATGTCAGGTTTCAGGTTAACACTTACTGGAGTAGCACTGTGAAAGGAGACATGGGGACACGTCATCCCCTGCTTTAAAACAGACTCCCACAGCCTTGGGATCCCCATGTCTCTGGAGACCCTCTTACACTCCAGAGAGTGAGAGCAACCCACGCTGCACATTAAGATGAGCAGATGACCTACTGGTACAGTGCAATGATGAGGTCAGCCAGACAGCCCTTCATGTTGTTCTAACTGCAGCTCTGTGCAAAGACATTCACAGAAGGAAGTACCCACTGTCCACCGGGCCAATTTCAACTGTGAGCACACTTGAAGTCATGGTGCACTACACCATATATTTTCATTTATACAAGAAATGTCTCAATCAATCCCACCATATGGCTATAAGCTTCCTGTCTCTCCTACAGTCTTTCAAGTCTTGAAATTAGAACTCTCATAGATGAACAATTGCATTCAACTTCATGGATGTATTAGGGATAGAAATATATTTAACAAATTATGACTAAGAATATTTTTCCTTGAGTACCATGTTTTGTTTTGTTTCTTTAATCTTATATGAAATAAAATTTTACAGCTGAGACCATGAACAGTCTTGTGTTGAGAATGTACTAGATTCCTAAGAGTGGATCTGACAATATGTCTGTGATAAATATTTAAACTGCTAATGATCTCTGACTTCCAGGACTAAGATTTAAAATAAATGAAATTAAATTCTCTGTCAGGTCACCCACATGTGATATGAGAGTACTTTCCTCTATACAAATCAGGATTTTAGGAAAGCCTGGGCTTATTTCTGTCGTTGTTGTTTGTTGTTTGTTTTTGTTTCAAAGAAAGGCTTAGAAAGGAAAGGTAAAAATGCAGCTGTGATGGGGCTCCCTGGTGATAAGACAGAGGCATTGAATGTCACTCAGTCTCTGTTTTCCTGTCTGTGTGATGGGAAGATTAACAAACTCCAGCACACTGGGATGCTTATAATCCCAGCTAGAACCATGTACTCAGGAAAGTTTCAAAACCATAAATCTGTTTGTCACTGTACCATCAAACCACCATACAATGCAATGAATATCAGGATGCATGTTAGTGATGTTCAAAAAGGACTTGATTCTCAATCCTGGACCAGGCCCTGGAATCCACTACATGAAGACAGAGCAAAGGTGGTCTGGACCCAGAAAGTTCCTCTCTTAACTTTGCACTGGTCCGCATCTTTTTTTTTTTTTTTTCCAGCAGCCTTCTTTTGACTCTTGCTCGGGTCATGTTCATATATTCATGCTCTCTCAGCGTATTTTCATCTTATAAAGTACTAATAAAAGAGACTAATTTCATCACTCTCCAGGCAGAGGGATGAGTGAAAGCCTTTCATCTCATTATGTCACATGAAAAGATACCCCAGACTCTGTTCATTCTTCTTTGCTTCCTACACTGGCCATTCTTTCTTTCTGGACACATGCAAACAGACACGCACACTAACAGACACACACTCAGAGATAGGTGAAAAAGAAGAGCAATAATCATTCTCTTATTATTATTTTCTGTTCCAACCCCAAAATTCATATTAAAAAATAATGCTATAGTGAAGGGGAAATGAAATGTCAGTATTACTCAAGTTGTCTTTTTCTCTTTCTGTGTTTATTTGCCAAGAAAAATAAACAGCCATGCTTAAGGTGTACTGAAGCACACAGCACAGACACCTCACCTTGTGGTGACTCTTTCACATAAAAGTGTCACAATAGACAATTCTCTTACAATATTATAAACATTAGGCCTTGCCCATACCTAAGGACAAGCAGGAAATGCACACTTTCCAAGTTGCAGCATTATTACAAACACTCTGCCTACCAAAAGTTACATTTAGCCTTTAGTCATCACTGTAGCAGATGAATTTCCTGGACCAAACCATCAAGTCCCAGGAACATGGGAAAAGTGTTAAGGGCAACAAGAGCAAATTTCTTAACACAAAACAAAATCAGAATTCTGAGTCCAAAACAGATATCCCCGAAACCACTCTGAGTTTTGGATGAGAATCGGCATAAAATGTGCACCCTGAAAAAGATCTGACAACTTGCAAGCACGACAAGACAACGTGTCATCACGGGTTAGAATTAAGGTGGGAATTTCCAGCATTTTCCTTCACTTGTGCACAGGTCTTCCTCGGGCCCAAGAAGGTTCGATGCATTGGGATTACTTACCTATGGAAAGGAAGGAAATCCAACCGTAGACCTACCAACCAGTCTGAATACACTTAGGTATGTATATTTGCTATCTGGCCCACCCTTTCTCTGCGCCCCTTTTCTGGAAGGCCACACCACTTGACTTGGGACAAACCTTGCCTTCTGTTTCCCAAAAACACTATTACTTTGGCTTGTTATAGTAACCTTCCCAGAGTTAGTCATAAGCCCATGTTGACCTGAGATTGCCTCAGCCACAATCCAACAGAACCTAGGATAGGGAATTCCCAGCCCTTGACTGGTGTTTCAGCAAGTGTTGAGCTCCCATGGGCACTGAGCTCACATGTTCCCTAAAAGCCACATGCATGGGGCTCCCACCACAGGCAGGACAGAAGCATTTGTCATGTGGAAAAGAAGGGCTCAACCTGGGTGTCCCCCCCCCGCCCCAGCCCCCGCTGGACTTCAGACAGTGTCACTCCCACTGCTGTCCAAAAGTGTTTTCAGGAAGGAAGACACAAGGTTGAATGGGATGGCAACTTAGTATAAATATTTTTAGAATTACTTTAAAATTGAAAAAAATAACTGGAATCTTATCTAGGATTGAGTTCTTCTAAGGTTGTCACAACATCTGGCCTGAAACTCACACTTAAAACTCCCGGTAAAACAAAGAGTGAAGGTGTCCGGAGGTAGGGATGCCATCCCCACCCGCCTTTTGGAAAATTCTGCCCAATTGGTTTTGAACAGATGCTGGGGAACCGCGTCCTGGAACAGGGGAGGTCTTGTCCCCTCCTGATGCATTGAACCCTCCGTGCTGGCATTTAAAACCCACAGAAGCCAGCTGTGTTTATGACTTGTTTAATTTCATAGTGGTTGGGGGAGGGATCCGAAACTCCGGGATGGGACGTTTGCCTTAAAGGAGTGCTTGGCACCCGATCCTACCAGCACAGAACTCCAGGGAACTTGGGCCTTGCAGGGTGGGGAGGAGAAGGAAAACGGAGGGGGAGAAAGGAGGGGCGACGGAGGGTCTAGGGAGGGAGAGAAGGAAACAGGTGAGCTCCACAACGCTTCCAGTAGGAGATTCCAGGACCTTGGTCCCCAGTGGCGCTCCAGGGTCCCAACTTAAAACAGTCACTTACCAGCTTTGCACGGGTCCTTGTAATCTATAGGCTCCGTTTTGTCCTCTTCGTTGCCATCAAAAGTGTAATCATAATCGAGGCTAGTGCAGACCCACAGTTCCCGGGAAAAAACAATACCCGAGACTACTAACCACAGGGGCATGCTCGGGGAGAGCCCTCGCAAACCCATCCTCCTCCCCCCCGAAGAAAAGGAGGGGACCAGACCCGGAGGGCCGCTTGAATCTGCGGAGCTCAAGGGACAGTGCTCTTCTCCCCAATGGGAGACTGCTCGGAAAGACCT